AGGTTGTTTTCAAGTTATAGAATTGCAATAGAATTGCTATGAACATAGTTGAACAAGTGTCCTTGTGTTATGCTTGACTATCCTTTGGATATATGCCCAAGAGTGGTAATAGTTGGGTCTTGTGGTAGGTTGACTCCCAGTTTTCTGAGGAAATGTCACACTGACGTCCAAAGTGACTATACAAGTTTGTACTCCCACCAGCAATGGAGGACTGTTCCCCTTGCTCCATATCCTCTCCAGCATGAGCTGCCACTTGTGTTTTTTATCTTAGCTATTCTGACAGGTATAAGATGGAATGTCAGAGTCATTTTGATTTTCATTTCTCTGATAGCTAAGGAAGTTGAACATTTCTTTAAGTGTTTCACAGTCACTTGAGATTATTGATGTCTAGCTTCTTGAGTTCTTTATACACTTTGGAAATCAGCCATCTGTCAGATGTGGGGTTAGTGAAGCTCTTTTCTCATTCTGTAGGCTGCCATTTTGACCTATTGATATGTCCTTTGCTTTACAGAAGCTTTTTAATTTTCTGGGGTCCCATTTATTAATTGTTGATCTTAGTGTCTTTGCTATTGGTGTCCTGTCCACAAAGCAAAAATGTCAGTGTAATAATGCCTAGTGATAGTCTGCTGTACTCCTAGACTGGTGCCTAGACCAAATGTTATCAGAGAGACTTCATCCAGCAACTGATGGAAACAGATGCAGACCCATATCCAAACATTAGGAGAAGTTCAGGGAATACTGCAGAAGAGGGGGAGAAATGATTGAAAAATCCAGAGGAATAAGGGATACAACAACAAAACTCAGAGAATCAACTAACCTGGGCTCACAGGGACTCACAGAGATTGAACTGACAACTAGGGAGCCTGCACGGGACTGGCTAGGCACTCTGCATATGTGTTACAGTTGTGTAACTCAGTCTTCTTGTGGGACTCCTAACAGTGGGAACAGGGACTGCCTCTGACTCTTTTACTGGCTTTCTGGACCCTAGTCCTCATACTGGACTCCTTCCCTAGACTAATACACAGGGAGGTGCTTAGTCTTACTACCACTTGACATGCCATGTTTTATGGAATCCATGGAAAGGCTGCCCATTCCAGAACAGTAATGGAGGAGAAGTGGATTAGGAGATGGGTACAGAGTGGGAGTGGGGTAGAGGGACTGAAAGGAAAGAAGGGATGTGAAACTGTGGCCAGGATGTAAGATTAAATAATTAATTAATTTAAAAGTTATTAAGACTATTTGTATACACACCTGACTGTCTCTATTAAAGGGATTTTTTTCTTGTCTGTAGTCAAGTAGTTTTAACCCTGGATTGGATCCTAGGGACCTTTTACTATATCTACCCATATAGAAAGGGTCGTTACAAGAGCATCTGTGGCAGCATGATGGTCAATCCTAGCAACTTGGCTGTTTTGAGAGATGCTGAGGTGAATGAAGCAAACCTCTGGCGTGTCTCGTCTCATGCAAAGCCTCTGATGTAGCGAGCTGCCAGTGTATTCGCAGCTACAGTGCTACCATACTTCACAATGATCTGAGGCTAAGGGATAAGGATGAAAATAAAGACAAAGACAGCAGCTCATTCTTGCAAGGAGAATGGCATTAATTATTACAAGAGTGGAGCCTTATATACCAAAGGCAGGTATGGTGGAAAAACACCAAAGTCAGAAGCCTATGTTCCCAGGGCCCTCACGCAAAGGGGTGGGCCCAAAACAGGAATTAGCATTTAGACAATAAACAGGAACTTGCATGCAGGCCTTACTTGGAGGAGAGGATGAGAAATGTTTTGCTAAAAGCTCCTAGTAACAAGCAGTCAACAGACCCCCATGGGGGAAGGGTGCAATACTCTGACTGAATTGATGGGGTTTTATCCAAGAATGGGTTCACTTTTGAGTAGATTCTTAAGAGATGGTGGAAATGTGGAAGATGGAGCCTTCTTGGAACTGGTAGAAATTGTGGAGGGTAGAGTTTACTTAGAGGTAGGGCATCACCAAGGGGGAAATGCCTTTGAAGGTTGTACCTGACCCCTCGTCCCGTCCTGTTTCCTGGCCTTTATAAGGTGAGCTGTTTCAGCTACATATTCCTGTGACAGTGAGGTGTACCTTACTATGGGCCCAGAACCAACACAGCCCAAAACAGAGTGCACGCCAAATCATGCAGGTATAAGTCAGAGAACGGTGTGTCAGAGTCAGTTCTCATCTACCATGTGCATCCTGGCTATTGAACTCAGGTTCCTGGGCTGTACAGCAGCTGCCTTTACATGTTGAGCCATCTCATTGGCCCGTGTTTATTTTTAACTAAGTGGTAACACGCAATTTGAAGATTGTGTGCCAAGGTTAATGGTTGGAACTTTTAAGTTACCTCTTTGGGAATCTGCTTCCCCTCTCAATTCCCTGACTTTGTTGCCTACCCTAGCAATAAGATATATTTAATATAATTCTAGCAATTCTCTGTGAATTTAAAATTGAAGACTAAATTGTCCTACACTGACAGCATTTTATATGAGTATTGTGATAATAGACATTTCTCCCATAAACCAATTTTTGCCCCTCTTATCTGCAAACAAAATGTTTCATGAGTTTATAACCAGAATTCTGTGTCAAAATAAGAACCAGACAGTAACAGTTAGTTTGGGGAAAGAGATGACATGTGGTGACTCTTCAAGAATGAAGTCACTAGGAGAAAGGGCCTGGTGACCATGGTGAGGCCTTGAAGTGGCCAGTATTGAAAAAGGAACAGTATAACTTTACAAGAAACAATGTAACAGGGTCCAAAAAGGAAAGAGGAGCTTCTTTCCCAGAGAGGACCTTCATTAAGATGGACAGCTTGAAGTAAGAGTGAGACAGAGGGACAAAACCTCCATGAGAGTACTGCAGGGATGGAGAAGTGAGCCTTCAAACAAATTGTCTAAACAAAGAAAACATCCAACTTATAATTTTTCAGGAGCTGATGGGAGTTTTACATCACATAATTTAGTCTTGAATATGACAGAGAATGGAGGAGCCAGGTTCTGGGAGAACTATAAATTAGAGGTGTAAAACCACGTCGCAGAACAGCTCCTTAATTCTAGCTTCCAGAAGAAGCCTGTCAGGAGAGTGTGGCCCAATTTCTTTAGGCTGTGGGATCTGGACACCAAAATGACCAGTATCTTAAAGGGACAGGCCTGTGATTAAATGTTCAGGTCATCAGGCCTGGCATCAGGTTCAAATGTTCACTGGCAAAAAAGAGAAAATGATATAAGAAAGAGAAATAAAAAGAATGTATTTATAGTTCTGCACAAAGTTAGAAAGAAGGAGATTTTCAATCTATTTCTGCCCTGCTCCCAGAATAGAGCCTCTTAAAGGAAAGAAATAAAACAATATCCATGATAGGGCCAGGAGGACTGCTCTACAGGGAAAGAGCTTGCTATTTGAACCTGAGCTCAGCTCCCCAGGACCCAGAACTGACTCCTAAAGCTGCCTTTGATCTCCATAGTGCCCCATGGAATGTGCACATCCGTGTTCACACACACACACACACACACACACACACAATGCACACAACAATAATAATAAATTTAAAAATTTAAGCCAAGACCTATGTGTATGGAGATAGTCTTCATCCTGGAAGATGAGTTCTTCTCCTGCCTCAAGGCCCCTGAAGCAGCTCATCTCCACTCCCAGGTGGAATTTCCTACACAAGCCCTAATTTCTATGGGCCATCCTAAAATCTCTATATATTCCAGATTTAATAACGAGGAGTCTTAAGTCCCCAAAGTAACACAAGTCATCTAACAATACATATTTTTAAACACTGAAGATTAGTAGTCTAATTTTTTCTGGTCTTTAATACAGTAGAATCTCTTTTCTTTAGTTGTAGGGATATAATGTGAAGATTCAGAGCTTTAGTTCTTCAGCTTGGACAGACACACCTCTGATTAATCCCCAGATAAAACATGACCCTCTAAATCCCTTTAAATATCAGATTCATTATGGTCAGAAGTAGGTAAAACAGTAGTATGTTTTTCTTTTTTTTAGAGTTCTTAAAAAACTCTGTGTGTGTGTGTGTGTGTGTGTGTGTGTGTGTGTTTCCTCAGCAGGCCACAAGAGGGTGTAAGATCTCCTGAAACTCAAGTTATAGGTAGCCATGAGTCACCCAACATGGGTGCTGAAACCTGAACCAAATATGGGACACAGTGGAGACCTGAGGCCCAGGAGCCCTCAGAGGTCTCTGCAACTGAGCATTCTCACTGTTCACGTCTCCTCTGACTGGAAAGAGAGAGTAGCCACTGGGCTATGTGAGCTGGCCACCACTGACTTCATCCCTGCCCTAGTTAAGGGTTTTACAGTATATCCTTACATCTTCAGGAGTATTTTTTGTCCATCTCTTCAGTATCTCTTATATATCTTGCCCCTTCTTTCCACATTACACAGGGCTGAGAATGTTAACAGAATAGCAATTGTGGTGGAGAAAAAGGAAGCCTCCAATTCTTCTATGGCCAATGCTTCTATATTTACAAGTGTTGGAGAGGCTCAGGTATGTAACTGTGCTAGGAAGGATACATACCTCATGCCCTAGTGCTTTCTTAATAACAGAACTAGCCTTTATTTTTATTTCTACCCACATATTCTTGATCTGATTCTTTACTGGAGGCCCTGGGTGAAATATTTCCATATAAAAGGTCCCCTGATGGAGAGAGTAGAGGAGTGAGCAGATGGTAGAACTTTCTTTATTTACCTTGGACGCTATATAAATGACCTTTACATTGAATGTTTAGGTAAATTATATTTCCTATGGATTGTATTTCAGGATACTGGTAAGGACCATTTGAAACATCAATACCATAGAAAAATTCTGGGCTGTTGCTTAATTAGACATATAAGTATGATGATAACAGAGTCTCAGTTGTGCCTTTACAGAACACCGATCTTTAAATCCACCCGGATTGTTTTCATGACCAGCTTTGAATGGAATCTTCAGTCCACCAGGCATTGCAAAACTACATTTTTCTGTGTCCATATCCATCATCCCATCTGTCTCCTCAGGGCCCCCATGACTTCCTTGTTATGTAGGCTGTAGATGAATGGGTTCAGAACTGGAGTGACGATTGAGTAAAGCACAGCCACCACCTTGTCCCTTGCAGGAGAATGCAGGGAGTGTGGCTGGGTGTAAGTGGAGAGAGTGGTGGCATAGAACAGGCTGGCCACAGTCAGGTGGGAGGAGCACGTGGACACAGCCCTACTCTGTCCCTTCCCTGAGCTCATCTGGAATACAACAGCCAACACCCGAGCATAGGAAGCGAGAATGGCCAGGAAGGGTAGCAGCAGAATGACCAGGGCACTCATGAGGATTGTGTGCTCATATTGGGATGTGTCTTCACACACAAGTGGCAGGAGAGATGGAACCTCACAGAAAAAGTGGTTAACCACCCGAGATCCACAGAACGGAAGCTGAAAAGCATACAGCGTGTGCACCAAAGCGTTGATGGAACTGCTGCTCCAGGCACAGACGACCATGGAGCAGCAGATCTTCCTGCTCATGAGCACAGGGTAGTGCAGGGGCTGGCAGATGGCTATATACCTGTCATAGGACATGAAGCCCAGCATGTCCTGGGCTTCAGATCCACCCAGGCTAAGAAACACAAAGGCTTGGATCTCACAGCCCAGAAAGGAAATGGTCTTGGTGTTTGACAGGAAGTTAGCTGCCATCTTGGGCACAGTGGTGGAGATGTACATCATGTCGATGATGGAGAGTTGGCTGAGGAGGAAGATTCCTCAATAAGATCCATAGCAAATCCATCAGGAAATTCTACTTTATCTCAGCAATTTATTGTCTCAAACTTCCGTTGTCAGCTAATGGCTTGTGCTGTGACCAAGCCAGAATTCTGTCCTCCACCAAGCTGAGCTTTTGAACATGAGGACCGTGGTGACCTTTTCCTCCAGATAACCAAATGTGTGGACCTCCTGTCTTTTTGTAATTTAAGTCTAACATAGTTTTAACTATGGCATAAGCAACTGTATATTAGCAACACATATCTCACTTTTCCTAGGATTTCTCCTTAAAAATGGAATACTAAGAACAGAAAATGAAATTGCCCAAAAATATATAGAAAGATAAGATACTCAGAGGTAATAGAAAGTCACAGCTATGCCCCCATGACTAACTTTTAAATACAATATTAATATCCAATGAATCAAGATATTATGTGTATCAAAAAAGAAACACTAACTTCTAGAATCTCTAATTCCAAGTACATTTTGGAAATTGTCAGCCCACTGTGATTTTGTAAGATGGTTGCTTTGTGATGCAGAAAATAAACCTCACTTAACATTATAGACTGAAGTGGGAAAGAAATATTATTTTTAGCATCTATGGAAGACTTTTAAGGTCTGAAATCCTCTGGCTGCCTGTGGGACATTGGACCTCAGAGGCATTCTTTCAGAATTCTTCTGGGAAAACCTGGCATCTTGGTCCACAATTAAATAAACACATCATGTGCAATAGAGATGCCATTTTATTAGAACTCCTGTTTGCACTGCTCAGTAGAATTTAAGAGTTCAGAATGAATGTTCAAAACATATTTTCAAGTTATAACTGAAGCTGAAAAGTTTTTTTTAAATCTCATTCTATTATGCATTTAACAAGTTTGTCTGCAGTAGAAGTATAAGGAATAAGCTGCAATATGTAGGTATTAGAAAATCACAAATATGGTACTTTAAGGAATTATATAATCTGGATTTTGGCTTGTGTCAATCTCTCTGAAGACTGTATTCAAATATTCAACATGATCACAGATGTAGGGGAGTCATGTTTATGAAGTCACAGGTCCATTGGATGCTGGAATCAAAAACAGTTTACTGTGCCCCTGCTTGGAGAAGACATCACATCATGTCAAAAGGCAAACTTTTCCTGCTGAAAAAAACACTCCTGTTCATCTAAAGGAGTTATATTTTAATTAGAAGAGGAAAAAACTGAATCCATTTAATATTGACTGTATATACTGAATTTCAAACTATTTCTCAATAAACATGTATAGGAAAACCATTAGTTAAACACGAAGTTCCCAAGTATAGCTGGCTTACGTGGGCAATGAAAATAATTGTAACACCCTGTTTGTCACAAATACCAGATTCATCCATTTTTGTAGATGTATGATATATTCTAGTAGGTTGTATCACTTTTCCTGGTTATAATTTATTTGCTATATTATCGTATGTGTATGGGTATTTTGTTTGCATGTGTTTCTGTGCACCATGTACATGTCTGGTGCCTGAAGAGGCCATAAGAGGGTGTCAGATTTCCTGGATTCTATAGATGGCTATGAACTGCCATGTGGGTGCTGGGAATTGAACCTGGATCCTCTGGAATTGCAGCTAGTGCTCTTAAAGGCTGAATATCTCTACTTTAAACACTCCTGATAGCTTTAAAAATTCATGAAAAAATTCAAGAAAAGGATTTTCTGTTTAGCCCTCATTTTCTTGGACCTCAATCTGTAGACCAGGTAAGCCTCAGATTCAGACATCTGCCTGACTCTGCCTCCCAAGTGCTGGGATTAAAGACATGAGTCACCAATGTTCAGCTATTATCAGAATTAGCATATGGCAAATTATGCTATTTACAAGAATAACTTTTTCCTGAATAGGTGAGAACACAGCACAGCACCACCAGATGACATCACTTCCTGAACTATAATAATCCTTGTAATAACTGAGGCTTCTCTCTCTTTTTTTAAAAAGTTCATAATTATTATTTGCAGTACTGAAAGATACCGTATTTTTATCCAGGCATGGTGATATACACCTGTAATCTCAGCACTTGGGAGGTGAAAGTGGGAAGATCAGAAATTCAAGGACATTCTCCACTACATAGTGGGTTTGAAACCTGGGTTACTTGAAACCCTGACTCAAAACAAATGAGCACATAAGCAAATAAACACCAAACCAAAACCAAACAAAATAAGATATTTATGTGTCTGATTATTTTCAGCCAATTATAAATATAATTTGCTGTCTTGCAACACAGACTGGCATCAGCTGTTTACTTCTGGCCCATTTTACCATTATGGTGTCAGAAGTTATAGATGTGTGTACCATTAAAACATTTTTAAAGTGCATATGTATGGCTGTTTTGCCTGTGTGTGTGTCTGTGCATCTCTTCTGTGCTTCATACCTGCAGAGGCCAGAAGAGGACATCAGGTGCCCTGGGACTGGAGTTACAGATCATTGTGAACCACGATATGGGTGCTAGGAATCAAACCCAGGTCCTCTGCAAGAGCAGTGAGTGCTCTTAACTACTGAGATTAGAACTTCTTCCCTCTTTTAAAATTTGAGATGGGCCTCATGTATCCTATGCTGGTTTTGTACTGATTATGAAGTCAGTGTAAACTCCCTGCCTCCACCTCTCTGGTTATAGAATGACAGACATTTGTTACCTCACCTGGCCTGTGCATGCTAGGGAAGCACACTAGTAACACCTGGCTTCTGCATGTACCTTCACCATGAACATCTGACTGCACTAGGAATTTGAATTCCCTGCCATGTCATTTACAAACTACACTAACACAATCTCCTTTGTATAGATGGTAAATGGAGATAGATTTTGTGTTCAGTCATATGCATTTGTAAATCTCAGGCCTGTAGGACTTTATTGTCCATACCTCTAGGGAGAAATTTACAAAACATTGTGGAATATTGATTGAAGTTTTGTTACATTTGTTTATGCTGTGGAATATTTGTTTAATGATGCAAAGATGTGCTGGATTCGTTTATATTGCATTTGTTTAACTCTGTGAAGCTAGGTTACTTTTACTATCTAAAATACCTGATTGGTCTAATAAAGACCAATAGTAAGCTAATAGTAAGGCAGGAGAGAGAAATAGGCAGGGCTGCCATGCAGACAGAGTAAATAGGAGAAGAGAAGATGCTAGGAGCAAGGAAATAAGAAAGAGAGGAGGATGCCAAGGGCCAACCACCCATCAACACAACCAGTCACAGGGTAAGAAGGAAAGAAAGAGATATAGAGTAAAAAAAGATAAAAGCCCAGAGGCAAAAGGTAGATGGGATAAGTTAAGTTAGTAAAACTGACTAGAAACAAGTCAAGCTAAGGACGGGGGGCATTCATAAGTAAGAATAAGTCTCTGTGTATTTATTTGGGAGCTGGGTGACTGGCCCCCAAATAACAGAGAGTAAAAGAAAAAAGAAAAAATACAACTACAGAAAAGCCTGTGGAAAAGTTTCATTTTGTATGCATCTCACCAAATGCTGAAAGGACAGAGAACAGTAGCAAAAAAAGAAATAAAAACCCAAAACAAAAAGTTTTTCTCTCAGTGAAGAATATGTTGAACTTTCTTTTCACTCTGCAAATCCCAATCTACCCAATGCCTTGATTCTGCATCTCCCCACAGTTCAGCTAGTGACCAGTTCCTACAAATGTAGGAAAAAATGAGCTGTAATATGAAGGGGGTTTTGGCCCAGCAGGATCCCACCGCCCTTCTCTGCCCCCCCCCCAAAGCACACAGACACTATATTAATTATGAAACTGGTGGCTGTTGGCTTGGGTTTCTTGTTGGCTAGCTCTGTCTTAATTATCAACCCATAACTACTAATCCATGTATTTCCACGTGGTCTTGGCTTACCAGGGAATGCTGGACCTGCAACTCCTTTGCCTGCTACATGATGACTGCTTAGCATCCCCACAGAGAAGAGAGCGGTTTCCTATTTGTCCCTGCTTATTTCCTGATTCTGCCCAATTACATCACTTACTGTCTGGCCAATCAGTCAATCAGTGTTTTATTCATTAACCAATAAGAGAAGCATATACACAGAAGAACATTCCCCATTAGAAGCAATGAGAAAAGCCAGGCACAATCTTCACAAATGCAAATACTCACTCATATCTCATGTCATTTTCTTAAGGGTTTGTATGGTTTAAAGGCATATTAAACGTGTTCCCCTCATAGGCCCCTGCACTCCCTTTCCCTCCCCTTTATGACTAACCTCTGTTCTTGTGCCTTTGTCCTGCAGTATCCATGGTACTCACTCGAAGCAGAAGGAACAGCCCTGGAAAACTGTGATGCACATTTTTGAACTTCTTTTTTTCTAATGTCCTGCATCTGTACTCAGAGATCCCACTCTCTAGCCCTGCACACAAGGCCCTCCTGACCAGCCGTTGCTGCCCTCTCTCTTGGTTCTCCTTTTCCCCTGACTTTTATTTTTTTGATTTTGTTTTGTTTTTCAAGACAGGGTTTCTCTGTGGCTTTGGAGGCTGTCCTAGAACTAGCTTTTGTAGACCAGGCTAATCTTGAACTCACAGAGATCCGCCTGCCTCTGCCTCCCAAGTGCTGGGATTAAAGGCGTGCGCCACCAATGCCTGCCTGGCTTCTCCTGACTTTTAAAGCATCCACACTCACTCTGACATGAAGAAACATGAACTTCCCTAGTTCAGGAGAGATGCCTAGGGTCTTTCTTTTTATCACACAGATAAAATGCCACCTCAAAGCTGTCCCCTGGATGTCCCTGTCAAGCCTTCCCTATCCCATGCTTGTCTCTTTTTTTCCATGTATCATTGAATGGCAGCTTTATCCTTGACACTTAGTCACTAGCACACACAAGCAGCAGGTCCATTTCACAGATTCAGTGACTACAGGTTTAATCAGCTGTTTGATCCTGCGTTGGAAACACTTCCCAGATCAGAGAGAGGTCCCTCCATGGGCCTGAGAGATGACTTAGCAAGTAAAGTGCTTGGGGCCATTTGTGATGATCTGAGATCAGTCCCCAGGACCCACCTGATTGAAGGAAAGAGCCAGCTCCCACTCAAGTTGTCTTCTGACCTCCACACATGAGTCACGGCATGTACATTCCCAATAAATAAGTAACTGTAATTAAAAAGAAATGAAGGTCCCTCCCTAATGCTGCTGAATGAAGAAGGGTTGTAAAAGTACTACAGGCACATCATGATAAGTAAAGATCTTGCAGGAGAGTACAATAAAGGTTGGGTGAAATTCTTGTCCATGTTGACAGTCACTTGCCAGGATTTATGCATCTCAGAATGGACATGGTGGGAATTAAAGACTAAACACTCCGAAAGTCTGTGTTAAGGAAATCCCATTTCTCTCAGTCAGTTACTCATTCTCTCTCCCAGACTGATGTAAGAACATGGTCCTCATTCCTAGGCTTCCTCGGCAGTACATGTTGGCATTTGAGAGTCAGGCATGGTCAGCAAGCCTGACATCAATACATACTGTTTTACAGTATTAGAGCTCATGCTCCTTCACAATTCTCACATAAGAAAACAGGCCAAAAGTCTGTAGTGAATTCTACTTCAATTCAGACAGACGCTAGGGGTATTGCACCTGGTTGAAGATCCCAAATTTAGTAAGGTTTTAACATCTTGGGAGTTCCCAAGTTCTTTGATTATAATTTTTCTCTTAAACCTACATTTCCCCAAATCAGCCTCCTGAGCGCCCCCTTCACCTCCTTGTTCCTGAGTGTGTAGATCAGAGGGTTGAGGAGAGGGGTGACCATGTTGTAGAAGAGAGTGAGGAACTTGCCCTGGTCTTTCGAGGAACTCGTTCCTGGCTGCATGTACATGTAGATGATGTTTCCATAGAAAAGCGAAACCACGGTGAGGTGCGAGCCACAGGTGTTGAAGACTTTGTGCCTTCCTGAGGATGACTGCATACTTAACACAGCCCTCACGATGTAGAAATAAGAAACCAAGATAAACACCAGAGGGGACAGCACAATGCCTATTGCCAGGATGAAGGCAATGCCTTCAATGAGAGCTGTGTTGGTGCAGGCCATCCTGATAAGGGCTGGCATCTCGCAGAGGAAGTGATCCACCCTTCGGTAACCACATCGAGGTAGCCACAGGGTTATTGGGGACATAATCAAAGAGTTGGCCACACCACAGCCCCAAGCAAAAGACACTAAAATCAGGCAGAGTCTGGGGCTCATAACCACCATGTAGTGCAGGGGCTTGCAGACAGCCACAAAGCGGTCATAGGCCATGACAGCCAGCAGCAGGCACTCCACACCCCCCAGGCCCAGAAACAGGACCAGCTGCAGGGCACAGCCCACATAGCTGATGGTCTTGTCCTGCCCGCTGAGGTTGTAGAGCAGCTGTGGGATGGAACTGCTGGTGAAGCTGAGGTCCAGGAAGGACAGGTGAGTGAGGAAGAAGTACATGGGGGTGTGCAGGTGCGGGTCCAGCCTGGATACCAGGATGATGGTGCTGTTGCCTAGCAGGGTCAGGAGGTAGGCAGGCAGGATGACTGCAAAGAGGACCCTCTCTAGCTGGGGCCGGTCAGAGAAGCCTAGAAGGATGAAATGGCTGAAGGTGCTGTCATTGGCTGTGCCCATCTCTATTGCACCTGTGGAAGATGGGAAATAATGACACTTAAAACTTCTGTGAAAACTTTTCATCCATGCATAGTTTACTGGGTTACTTATAATAATGGATAAAATACTTATAACTTGGCGATTAGAAATCCTGTCAAAACACACACAGAAAACCCTATATATATATATATATATTGAGACAGGGTCTCTTGGTGGAACTAGCTCTGTAGACCAGACTGGCTTCAAACTCACAGAGATCTGCCTGCCTCTGTCTCCCAAGTGCTGGGATTTAAAGACCTGCACCACATTTTATATGAACAAAACTTTTGGCCAAAGTTAAAAATAAAAAAAGGGAAAAAGAACAGATTAAATTGGCAAGCAATTTACTTGGACCATCTTCTGAAATAAAGATTCTGCATATATTTTGGAGACAAAGTCTCACTCCATAGCCCAAGTTGTTCAGGAATACAGTATGTAGTCAAAGTTGGCTTCAAATTCATGGCAAACTACCTGCCCCAGCCACATCTTTTGAACATGAAAATACATTTCAAAATCTGAGGAAATAATTTTACTTTTAATTCTTTGGGACAAGGTATCACTATCACTAAAGAAACTCCATTTTATTCCAGCCATTATCTTGGTACCCACTAGCCATTTGTCTCTGACTCCAATCCCTGGAAGGCAAGTTCCTAGTAACCCTCATTCGGAAACTCTTACCCAAAAACATTCAGCTATGGTTATCTAACTTGTTATGATATGACTAACTGGTATTTTCGTTTTGCTTTGTTTATTTTTACTTCTGTAACTTGCTTAAACAGATACCAAAGATTGTTTATGGTTCCTTACCTTGGCAGAACAAACAAGTATTTGCTGGCTTGTGTAGGTATTGGAGGCCTTCTTGTGGTTTTTCCCATTCAAAAATCCTTCTCTCACCCTACTTCTTACAGCAATCTCGATTTGCCTCAGAGATTTCTCATCCTGCTAGCAGCTGATCAATAAATCTTTTAATTATGATTGGATTAAGTCTATGTTCTTTTCCTGGGTTCACAAACTCTATAACATTATGTAGCCTAAAACATATGATTGTCCTGCTTCAACCTCCTGAGTACTGGGATTGCAAGCATGTGTCTCTCCAGCTAGCTTCAAGGGCACTTAAAAAATTGAAAATCCTACATGTTTCCCGTAAGCCCTACATCCTCTGAATGAGGATACATGTAAGCAAGCCAAAACTGGTTTGCTCTGCCATCTGTCCTGGGACCACATTTGCTTGTGAATGAAGTTGGTTAAAATGATTGGTAACTTTGGGCAGTCAATGAACTTTAGGAAAAGTTAGCTTCTCTGTTGTCTCCTCTTAGACTTAAGACACACATTAGATTCTCTATGATTTTTCCTTCATTTTTATTTTATAAGTTGGGGAGTTTTTCCTGCATGTATATGTATGCATTGTGTATGTATAGTACCCTAGGAGGCCAGAAGAGGGCATCAGATCCCCTGGGACTGGAGTTACAAAGGGTTGTGGGCTACCATGTAAATGCTGCAAACTGAACCCAGGTCCTTGTAGCCACTGAATTATGTCTTTAGCACCACCATCCTCTTCTGAGACATGTTCTCATGTCCCCAAGGCTGGCTTCCACCTTATTATGCAAGGATGATCTTGAACTTCTGATTCTCTTGCCTCCACCTCCTGAGTTTTGGGATTACAGGTAAGGGCTACCATGCCCATTGTATCCAGGATCTGTAATCCAAACTAAACCTGTTTGATATCACCACAGGTTGTATCCACCTTCAGCCACCCTCCACACTTGGTCTTTGATGAATTTGCTTCTAACAGTTTATCCCACACCTGGGGTTTGCATGGGGTAATGCAGTGTCTTGTGAATCTGCCTCTTCTCACATTAGATCATGGTTAGGACCATCTCCTGATGACTGGCACTTGATGTGTGATCAAGAGGAAACCTTGACATGATCTTAATTAATTAACTAACAGAATTAGTTACAAGTAATTAACAAAATGATAACTGGCCCCTAAAGGATCAACAGGAAGGATTTTCTTCCAGCATTAAAAACTTTTTTTAATAATTCTTAGAGGAATCACAGATTTGAATGAAATCTGTTAATTTCATAAATATATCAGCACAAACTCCTCCCACCTGAGTCCTTCCTCCAGCTTCGGAGCAGGGGCATGACTGCCTGTGAGAAGCTGTGCAGGCAGGCCTGCTGAACCGGAGAACCAAGAAATCTTCTCACCCAAGGAAGAGTACTGAAACTTGGTATGAGTTAGGTAAAACATTTATACATAAACTAATGGCGGCCATTGAGAAAAGCAAGCATTCAGCCATATGCCCTTCCATTTTCTGTGTGGTAGCGGGATGATAGAGTGGGCTCTTGGCAAAAGAGGGGAAAATGCTTTTTTATGCTTCATTTCTTTCTTACTGCTGCCAGGGTTCTTTTTCCCCTTACCGGAACCAAACTGACTTTCTCCTGCTTTCCATTAATCCTTACCCATTAACCACTCTTCCTTGAGAATCGACCTCTTGCCCAGGTAGTAGTCAATGTAATTCCAGTCAACAGAACACATCGAAGTCGCAGGGTGTTTAAGGAGCTCAACTGATTGTCTCAATTAACTAAGGAGTCAGTGTTCTCTGAAATGTAAAGCTTTATCTTAACCAAGGTTTTAGGTGAACTTCATATTACTAATATTAAACAAAAACGCCTACAAAACAAAAATTGTCCTGTTAACAGAGAAGCCAGCGAATGACAGAGAGCAAGGCTGGAAGTCTACACTCTACCAGTGTCCTGTCTCATCAGTGTCTCTGTTGACTTAGTCTGCTCCTGACAGGGCATGCAAGGCATGGAAAGAGAATGAAAGGATGCTCTGCATCAGCTATTTCCCAAGATCCTTTGAGGCATGAATACCAACTTTGTCAGCTTCCTCTGAGACAAACAGCATGACTGACTGTGGGTACCCCCCTTTACAAATGCCTTGTTCAGTGGCTGATAACACCCTTGGGACTTAGACAATGGGTGCTTCCTCTGTCTAGGTCAGTGGTTCTCAACCGTCCTAATGCTGTGACCCTTTGATACAGTTCCTCACGTTGTGGTGACTCCCAACTATAATATTATTTCATTACTACTCCATAACTGCAATTTTGCTACTAATCTGAATCAGAATGTAAATATTTGGTATGCAGGACATCTGACATGCAACCCCCAAAAGGGTCACTACCCACAGGTTCTAGACTACTACCACTAGTCTGGTTTTCAACTTAAAGACCAACCTGAAATCAGAAGATGGAAAGAAACATGATATCCTATAGGACACAGTAAGAAAGTGAGACTGACCATTGCCCCATTGCCATCATGAGAAATGCACTGGCAGACTCCAGGAACATCACCTTGGATACAGCTACCTACCTGCAGACACTCACTCCTAAGCCTGGCTGGTTTCTGAGATTTGAAAGTATAACTTTTTCTTTCTTCCCTTTCTAGCTTCTTTTTCTAAACATCATCAAAATCTTAAGCCTGACTGTCCCGACACCCCCGCCCCTCTGAAAGCATGTCTTCCTCCCCCATAATGGTCCTCCTATCTCCTTGAGGTTTTTTTTCAAATTCCTTTCTCTATAAAATCAAAGACCTGCAAAAGAGCTCCAGAGTCTCCTGGGACATACACACACACCCATCCTCCCTACTCAAATATATGTGATGTTTGTAACTTTGGCTTATGGTTTTATCCCATATAACCTTTGAGTAGAAGAAAAAGATGGGTTTGTTTCTCTTTTCTTTCCTTGGACTTAAGGACACACATAACAGGTGGACAATAAATAGTTTCAAACATATCTGATTTGGAACGAAGGTAATAGGTTCCAGATGTTCTGTTCACTGTTTATTTGGACTAAATTGGGAGGACCACGGTGTTCTTTGTACATATGAAATTCACTTCTGTTCTTGGAAACAACTATAGAAATGGACCCTGCAGGAGGACAGGGTGCCTAGTGGTCCAAGAGGCTGCATTCAGTGGATGGCTTCTGCACCTGACTGCCTCCATTGCAAACCAGCACTGTTGATTTTGCATTTAGTACCCACCATTAGCCGTGACTACTGAGTCATAGTCTTGTTGCTGTTACCATGGATGCTTGAGTGGTTTTCTGTTACCTGCCTATAGGTACTGTTTTTTCTCTTATCTTTCATCATCCTTGGAATGTCTTTGTTCATCTCCCTATCCCCAAGTGTCAGGTTTTTCCTAATTTGATTCAAATTATTTTCTGTAAGATATTTCCCTCCAGTTAACTCGTTTCCAGAATATCCTTCACAATATATATTTTACACATCTATTTAATATGGATGCACACATTCTGATCTATCACTTTACTTAACATAATTTAAAATCTATTTCTTCTGGGGTATGTTTTTTGGCTGACTAGTTGAAATAAATCTAAGTGACTGTATATGGTTTTATGGCCTCGCCTTTGAATTGGTTAATTAGTGTATATTTTCCTCCAAGTTTGACCTGGCATCAGACCTTACTGTGTCAAGTCTGGCAAGAGGGGCTGGGGATTTAGCTCAGTGTAGAGCTATGTTAAGTGCAAGATCCTGGGTTGGGTCCTCAGCTCTGAAAGCAGAAACAATGTTTGTCTCTGTTTGTATCATGGGCTCATAGGCAAAGACAAAGGCGAGAAGGGAAAGTTTCAGGAGAGATTTGAGCCCTCAGCCCCACTCACTATTCCCGGCAGCATGTTGTCAAGTTGATGAAAGTGTCTGAACAGGAGAGGAGGCTTTCCCTCCGCACGCCACTTGCTCTAGGCTTGCCGCCTGCTGTCCTCTTGCTCTTCAGTCCAGCCTGGAGCTGTTGAACTGTGAGTGGTTCTTTTCAATGTCATAAAGCAGGAAGGCACCCAAGGGCCAGGGCCAGAGATCCCCAGAGCTCACCTTTCCCTGTTTATATCCGGGGAGCCATAACCTTCCTGTGGAAGGTTGTGAGGAGAAAGGCGCTGGAACCATGGTCTCCCCAGTGAGACTGAGGAGACAGTGCAGA